TCAGATTATTTTTAGAATATCTTCTACGTGGCTTATGAAAGCAACTTATAACTTATATAAAATCAATTAGACTTTATTTTGATTTTTGTTATGGAGATAGCTTATACATAAAAGCAGTTGTTTTAATCCAAACAACAATTGTTGCAAATATTTCCTTATTGTTGTTAATGGCACTTAACTTGAATCACATTAATCTGCACCATTATGTTAAAAAAAAAGGTAAAAATAGTGAATGATATAAAATAGTGAATGATATTCCAAAGAAGTCCGTCTTTATTAAATCCTTATATTTGCCTTAATTAAGATTAAAAGTGAATTTGATTATTTGTTAGGTTCCTTGGCATGTTCCATGTGGTGGCATTTGCTATGGAGATGGAAATCTGGTCTTCATAGCAAATGATTGGCATACTGCATTGCTGCCGGTGTATCTGAAAGCGTATTATCGCGACCATGGTTTGATGCACTATACAAGATCGGTTCTCGTGATTCATAACATAGCTCACCAGGTTCGTTCTGAATCTAAGTATATGTTGCCTTGTCCTTATGCACATACACACTGACACGTTTACTTGTGCAGGGTCGGGGCCCGGTCGAGGATTTCAACACCGTGGATTTATCTGGAAACTACTTAGACCTTTTCAAAATGTACGACCCTGTTGGAGGTGAGCACTTCAACATCTTTGCAGCCGGTTTAAAAACCGCAGACAGGATTGTTACCGTCAGTCACGGTTACGCCTGGGAGCTTAAAACTTCTGAAGGTGGTTGGGGTTTGCATAACATCATAAATGAAAACGACTGGAAATTTCGGGGAATTGTGAACGGTGTCGACACAAAAGATTGGAACCCTCAATTCGACGCTTTCTTGACATCAGACGGCTACACTAACTACAACCTGAAAACCCTACGAACCGGTAAGCCTCAATGTAAAGCAGCTTTGCAAAAGGAGCTCGGGTTGCCTGTCCGCGAGGACGTTCCGATAATTTCCTTCATCGGAAGGCTCGATCACCAGAAAGGTGTTGATCTTATAGCCGAAGTGATTCCTTGGATGATGAGCCACGATGTTCAACTAGTCATGTTGGGAACGGGAAGAGTTGATTTAGAAAAAATGCTAAAGGAATTCGAAGGCCAACACCGCGATAAAATTCGAAGTTGGGTTGGTTTTTCGGTTAAGATGGCTCATAGGATAACAGCAGGTTCAGATATATTACTCATGCCGTCAAGATTCGAGCCGTGTGGACTGAATCAACTCTATGCGATGAGTTACGGAACAGTTCCTGTTGTACACGGGGTGGGCGGACTCCGAGACACAGTGCAGCCTTTTAATCCGTTCGATGAATCGGGTGTTGGTTGGACGTTTGATCGCGCCGATGCCAACAAGTTAATGACGGCATTATGGAATTGCTTATTGACTTATACGGATTATAAAAAGAGCTGGGAAGGGATTCAAGAAAGAGGGATGTCACAGGATCTTAGTTGGGACAATGCTGCTCAACAATATGAAGAGGTACTTGTTGCTGCCAAATACCAATGGTGATTTCTTGACATGTACTCCATCTTTGTAGTTTGATCGAAATGAAGGGCTTTCATGCTGAATTTGTTTCACGAGAGCAAAATACACGGTGTTTCAGTTGTGAAGACTGTTTGATCTAGAATGAGAAATTTTCTCTCACTAGATCGAACGGTTTACAGAGCTGTTGCACCGTGTAGTTGGAGGAGACATTTGCCATGTGAACTAAGGAATGTGTAAATCAATTGGTACATAATGTTGGAACATACAATGTAAAATGAAGTGTATTGAATGAAAATAAAAAGAGAATCTCTCTCTCTCTCTTTCTATGTGTCTCTAAGGTATTGTTTGGTTTAGTGAAAAATGCAAGGAAGTAAATGACTGAATGGAAAATAGTAGCATGGAAAATGAATATTGGAACCCCACATGATATTACACTACATTGTCATATTTATATTCTCTTTATCATATTAACAGGGTAAATGAATAAAGTGAAAAATAAAAGGGAAAATTCCCAAGCCACTTTTGAAGGATCTTATGGGGTAAGTTTGATATTAAATTGCTTTTCTCTGATTTTTGTCATCCTCAAACGGATGGAGAAGGTACAAGAAATAGAATTTTAGGTACTTTGCTTTGACCTCATCTTAAAAATAATGTCAAAAAGCTTGGGAAAATTGATCTATCCGATTATAATGAGGTAAGTGCTCCTTTGAATGTAAGTGACTTAACTTTATTTGATGAAGGTGATGGTGAACTTAACTTGAGGATGAGTTCTTCTAAACAAGGAGGGAGTGATGAGGACCTCCAAGAAGCCCAATTACAACAAGTGGGTGTAATTATTAGAAGGAAAGTTAAGAGACTTCAAATGGAGATAGAAAGAAAATTTTCTATTTGTTGCATTTGAAATTTGTTGGAGAGCCTAATGAAAATAAATTATTCTAAGTATTGTTTGTTTCTAATTAGGAGTCTTAGTCTAATGAAAATAAATTATTCTAAGTATTGTTTGTTTCTAATTAGGAGTCTTAGTTGAATTGTAATAAAATTGTTGAAAAATAATTTTTAGGGTTACTTTTTTCACCTTTAGGGGTGTTCCCCATTATCTCCGAACGCATCTTTTTTATACACTTCTCAACGCAAATTGATGAGACATTCTATTTTTTAAAAATTTAATTCGGAGATGTATCTCCGTAAAAATCAAGGAGTTATCTGAAGATGTATCTCTGAACGCTTTTATTTCATATACTCGCTCGCGCTAGACCCTTCCTTTTCCTCCTTCATTTTCTAAAAAGTCACTCAAAGTACCATTTGAGCTCTATCTCATCCATTCAAGTTTTTCATTCATTCAAACTTCTCTTTCTTATCCATTTGATTTCTTACGATTTTCAAATTTATTTTTTTGTGTGTGTTTTGAATGCTGTTTTAGGTGACAAAAGTTGTTTAAGCTACATTAAATAGTAGTGCAATCAAAATAGGTAGTCTAAATGGACATGAATTGTTATTTTGTTAGAGGTTAGGGCTACAATAAGGTATGTGTCATGACAAAGAATTGCGACTTCATCCGAAGATGCATCTCCGGATTCTTTCTGAACAATTTTCGAAGATGTATCTCCGAATTTGTACCTGGATGAATTTTGGATGAAATTTTGATGTGACTTTCTAGTTTTAACACAAGTGCAATGGATGAACATAATCCTGGCAGAATTAGATTTGAGCGTGTGTCCTAAACCGCGTCTGTACGACGTGAGAGGGTCGTGGTCAAGACCACGAGGCCACGAGTCGATGATAACTCATTTGATGGTTCATAATGTCGAGGTTCACATCTATCTGGTTCAACTTCTTGTAGTCGCCTGTCTCAGATCTCTACTTCACGGGGCCACATGTCCCTAAATGATGAAGCAGCATTTGGAGCCCCTGAAGTCTAGGAGGAACCCACTATTGATGCCCCTTTAGAGAGTTATTCAGGAGGCTCATTTAACATCTCCTTGCTTTATCTCTATGGAGACCATGTTGCTAGGCATGTCTGGGAAGGAGAAGATCATCTCCTATTTTCCTTGCATCACCGGGTAGAAACCTGTGGCTACTTACACTGAAGATTGGCCTCGTGCCACCGCCTTTACGCCATATAAAAGGAATAATATGCTTGAGCCATTTTGGATGTATCTTGACCATTATGTAGCTGATGACATTGCCTTTTGCCCATACATCGGTCACTGCCAGATGTAACGCTCCAATTTAATTTAAATTAGTTTCATGATTTAATCATGTGATAATGAGGGATCTTGTTGTGTGATTGGTGTTTTTGTATATTAGAGGGCCCTTGAGTGTAGGGTGGTAACCTCAGAAAATATAGTCTTTGGAGTTGAGGATGTATGAGTAATAGTATAGAGATAAGAGGCGTGGTGAGTGAAACTAATTAGTAATATTGGTTAATTATTAATTGGTTAAATAATAATAATAATAATAATAATAATAATTATTATTATTATTATTTATTATTATTATTATTAAGGAGAATAAAATAATAGTCATAATAAAATAATAAAAGGACTTTTGGGAATAGAAAAGTGTCAGAACGTGAAATAAGAAAAAGTGAAAAGGGAAGTTAGGGCTCAAAGGAAGGAGACAACCACCATTGTTAAGAGGTAGAAGAATTGCAAGAACTCTAAGATAAGTGTGGGGTTCTGATTATCTAATGGCTTGTATAATGATTTGTGGGTAGGGGTCAATTACTTGTTAGAACTTAATTCTACCACATGTGATAAACCTTAAACGTGAAATTCTGTTTTGTTGATGATATTGTGTACAATTGATAATGAGAAATTGTATGTCTGTCTTGATGTAAATTTGTGTGATTTAATTGTGTGATTTCATGTGTTTATGTGTGTTTTGGTAAATTAGAATGTTGCTAATGAGACATATGAATAAGAGTTGAAACTTGGAATATGAATTGTATATTGTGTGAGAGTTGGGGTGTTTGAGTGTGGAGAAAAATTGATTTTCGTACTTTGAAACAGTAGAAAACTACTTCGGTCGCAGTGGTAATCGATTTTCAAAAATGAGAAAATCGATTTCCCAGTGCAATTTTGTGAAAAATAGAATTTTGGGTGGTGGAAATCGATTTCTAATTCGAAAGTTTGGAAAACTGGCTCTTAGAGTGGAGGAAATCGATTTCCTGAAAGGGGGAAATCGATTCAGGAAATCGATTTCCATCAGTTCTGGCAGCATTTTTGTAACACTTCAAAAATTTATAACTTGAGCTTCGGGTGTCCGTTTGACGCACCGTTTGAACATGAGAAAAGCTAATACATTGTAATTTCTTGTGAAAATAATTTCAAGTTTCTAGAATTAAAATTAGTTAATGTGTAATGAGGTTTTTGGTGTCAATGTATGATGCGGTATGATGTCGGTGCTTGTATTTTCTAAAAACTTTATAAATTCATATCTTGAGCTCTGAGTATCCGATTGACGTGCCGTTCGAATTGTTTGGAAGCTGGTTTAGTGTAATTTGACATTAAAATAATTTATGTACCAGAATTCCAATTATTCGACATGTGGACATGTGTTTTGTGTGTAACAAGTTATGTTGTTTTGTGGAACGTGTGCAAATGCATTGTGATTGTTTGCTATATCGTTGATTTATTGTTGTTGTATATTTTGGTAGGTGTTTGGTGCATGGTGGCCAGTAGGGGCGAGGTACATTGACTATGGTAAAGGTCTTTATGCATGTTGTTATGTTGTATGCATAATATGTCGCATGCATTCATGGTGTGGGCGGAGGTCCGTATTTGGTGAGCCTCAATCCCATTGTGTGAATTGGGTGTGAGTAGATAATTTCTATGGTGATGGATTAGTGAAGTGTTACATTGGTAACGATTTTGGAAGGAGGTCCGTTTGGAGATCTTTGATCCTAGGTGGGGATCGGAGCGCCGAACATGAGAGTTCACATCTTGGTACCACGTACATCGAGTTTATGTCGTTGAGTCTCATTGCATTGCATAAGTGTGTTATTATTGTTTTATAGGTATGGAATATTCTGTTGGAATGTATGTTGTACTAGTAATAATCTGTTGCACTTGTTATTATGCATTCTATTATATAATCATGATATCTCACATTTACTGTTTAAATGTTGCCCGCCTCTACGCGGGTAACGTGCAAGTACTCAGGAGTAGTTTGGCATTAAAGTGAGTTGAAGATGGAGTCTTCCTTTTATTTTTGTTAGAGTTGAAGATGTGAAAAACACAAGAAGGGGGGGGTTGAATTGAAAACTTGAAATCAAAAGCGCAATGACACAATATTTTTATCCTGGTTCGTTTAATCTCAAACTACTCCAGTCCACCCGTCAAGGTGATTTCGCCTCTCTCCAACGAGGTCTTAATTCACTAATCACAAAAGGATTACAATCACTACTTTAACAACTGTTAAAGTCTTCTTGAGCACAACCACAATCCGGTTAATCTCAAGGAACAGTGTTTCAAAACAATTATACAAGAATGTGTGTTGTTGTTTTTCGTAACAAAAACTGTTATCACAGCTGTGATAATTTACATAAAATTATAGCTTGGAAAGATGATGAAATTTGCTTGCAGCTTTTTTTTAATTCTCGTGAGTGGTATGTTGCAAATCGTCCATGATTTGAACACTGAGCTTGTTTATATAGGCAATGCATTTACGTTGATCATCAAGCGTGTTAAATGACATTAACTCAGTTTCCATTTGGAGAAGATCCTGTCTGAAAGAAGCCGTTGTAATTGATGCTGAATTGAATGATCAGTAACACTTCAGAATCTTACATCCTTACCTGCTGCTGACGCTTCAAAATATTGATGACTTGGATTAACATGTTCTTGTTCAGAATCAGAGTTTACTTTGCTTAAGCGCAGGTTCTGGTCATCAATCTTCAGCGCATGTTCTGATTGCTTCAGCGTGTAGCTCTTATGGCTTATCTTCTGATGCTGCTTTGGTCAGAACTTCTGCATACATAAAAACATAATTTTTAGGTGCATATTTGTTCTTTGCATTTGTTA